ATATAAAGAAATTATTTCCCCTTTCATCACAAGTATTCAAGAAAACTAAAGAAAAACAATGCTAAAACCTTTAATATGAGGAAAATTACTTAAATTTACTGCTTTAAATTTATTCAAATTACAGCTTTTTCCAATATCTTTTCAGCATTTTAAATTAAATTCTTGTTTGTATTATAAAACATACTTACCTTGAAAACGAGTATATCCTAAAGTTTCTCCTCGGAAACTCTTATAATATTTAACTCCATAAACTATAATTGGTCTTCTAAGAATATGTGCAAGTACAAAAATGTGTGTCTGTTCCAAACTTGCTCCAGGCTGTTTCAAAAACGACATTTTAAAATAAAATTATTATTACGTGAGACAAAACAATAACATTAAATTTGATCTCAGTAAAGTTTTCATGTACAGTAATACCTCGATTTAATTGAATGCAACAGGCAAAAATTGAGGCCAAACTTATCTCTGAAACAACGAAGTCTGTTAAATCAAGGCTTTATTGATGTTCCTGGATAAGCTCTCTGAAGTTGGGGAATGGAGCTGGTGAGAAGATTGGCGGCGGCAGCAGGTCAATGGGATGTGCTCCATTATAATACTGATGGCACTGAGAAGATTGGAGGGAAGGCAATGGGAAGACACTCTCCTTCCTTCTGTGTGCAGTGGGATAGGGCAGTTTAGATTTCTGGAAGTCACAAGTCTTACCTGCTCCCTTGCAGCCAGAGGCCTATTCCTTCTGGTTATCTCTATAACAAGGGAAGGAAGCATTGGACAAGATGGAGGCTACAGCACTGAACCCTGCCAGCTTTAAAGAACCAGGATGCCTTATGTATACTTTTACATATGTGCAAAAGTATATTTTGGATTTAACAGTCATTTGGGTTTAATAAACACCTCTCCCTGTTGAATTGAGGTTTTACTGTAACTGAAATGTTTCTAAGAAATCAACTTTTAAAATACTGATTACCAAAACATTTTAATTGTTTTCTGAAAACACAAATATAATCTAGTAAATAATCATTTAATGAGACATAAATTACAGGAGGAAAACCAGGAGGGTAAAGCCATTAGTTTGTCCTAGTAACGCTACCCAGTTTTAATTAAATATATGTCTCCTCTAAGGCTTCAAATTATAGTAGCCTAGCCAAGGCAGACATCGTTACAAAAGAAAAGGGGATAAGGGAATATATACAAAAGGATATCACTTTTTTCTCTTAAGTCAATAGTCTAAATGCAAAATTACTGCATATTACTTGATATAGTGATTAGAGAAGCAATTTTAATGTTATGGTGAAATTTGACTTAACACATCTTAAAACTTTGACAGTACACTCAGTATTATTGTTAGAAAAAAATTACACTGAAGCAATGTGAATGCTTATCATTAATATTTTATTCGTGTTACATTTTTGTAGGCTTGCTCTCAGTGTACAAAGTTATATTTAATTATAGTTAAGCATATTGTGCTCAGTGATAACTTCTGAGTTGTGTACATTGCTGTTTGCAAGAAACAAGGGAAAGTGTTGCTATCAGTCTAAATACTTTCCCCAGAAAGTCAGTGGGGAAGGTCGCAAGTCGCTGGGGTAAGGTCGCAAGCAGCACACTCTCCCTCAGCCCCTCTGCGCTCATGCCATGCCGGCCACTCATGCCATGCCAGCCACTGACTTTGGTTGTGGGAAGCTGGCAGGAAGTTGCCTTGCCTAACCACCATGGGATTTGGTTAACAACGGCAACCGGGACTGCAGTTGTAAGTTGAGGATTACCTGTACACACATACTGATATAGGATTCAATCTAACTCTCATTCACCCTTTAAAGAGAAGATTATTTCTTTTGGTTTCTGAAAACTAAGGAGACTAGAGAAGTTCAATTTTAACCAACAATAAACACACTTATGTATGAAAATAAACTATATAAACAAACTAAATTCATCTGAACAGAAGAGATAGAAAGCACTTATATAACCACCATTCACTACACTAATAGACTAGTGTTTAAACCAGCTTGGAATCCTGCTCCCAAACCCTAGTAAACAACCAACAGTAATTGCATTGTTTAACCAGTGCCCTATGGGCAGAAAAGCAGGATGTAAGCTGAAATGATTATGATAATGATATTGATGTTGATACCATTATAAAAATATTTATATAATATTATCTACATTGTACAATATAGATCCATAGAACCAGAGCAGAAACTCATAATGCTGGGAGAGTACAGGGAGTATGCATGCCTTTTAGACAACCAAGAATATACACACACATAAAGCTATTATCATGTTGACCCAAAAAGAATGCAATGTTCTTTCCCCCAAAATATTGGAGAGGGAGGAAAAATATAATAGCAGAAACATGTTGCTGAAAGCAGGTGAATAGGCAGGAGGTATAAATAATGAAAGCATGAAATGGAGGCAGCAGAGAGGGAGGAATCACTGCTGTCTCTTCAGGGGGATATTGACAAGCATACTAGTCCTGCCCTCCCTGATGCCCTCCACATGCAGTGAGTGAGTCTGTCTGCAATGGAGAGCCTCCTCTATCCATGGAGGTTCTCTACATGAGGATTCAGAAAAATCAGGATCCTTCGTCTCTGGAGAGTCTCCATGGAAAAGGAGGCTCTCCACTGCAGACCCTCATCCTCTACACATGGAAGGGAATGGAAGGGAATGAGAGGAGAATGAGGTAGCATGCTGATTGAACAGGACTAGAAATTTTAAAAATACTCACCTGGGAATAAGAGCCAATGAACTAAATGGGATTTTCTACAGAGTAAGCATGCATAGATTTCCATGTGCTTGCAGCCCAGCACAAAGACCTCTATCAACCTGTTTCCTTGTTGCAAACAGAAGGGAAAAAAAAAACAACTCAATACCCCAAGGATCTCTTCTCCAGTTTGTATCTTAATTTACATGGAGTAAGCTGGGCTAAATAGACCCATCTCCAGCATAGCAACAGACTATGCACATTTACCTGGAGGTAAGAGCCACTGAACACAATGGGACTTGCTACAAAGTAGGTGTGCCCACATTGAGCCAACATTTTTGCAATCTCTCTTACTGATGTGAATGTGTATGCATATTTATATGTGAGCATGTATGTAAGAGAAATTAATCTGAAAAAGAATGGTTTCTATGTACTGTATATATGTAGATAGGAGAGTAACTAATTTACAACTGGGTGCCTTATTTTAGGTAGCAGTTAATTAAATTAATATTATTGTTTTCTCTTCTTGTCCTGCTCTGTTTCCAGTGCATAAAGCCTCAAAGTCAGCATGTACTCACAAGTGTGTTCCCTACACACATTTGTTGGGGGAAAAACTTCCAGACTGATTTAATGGAAACTGGCAACAATAGCTGACAAGGAAGATGGGAAGTGTACAGGATTTTTCTAGTGTTTAGTCTATCTTCTATATAATCTTCCT